CTTCGCAGAGTCAGCTTTTCACTTCCCCAAGAGACACCTCTATGTTTACCTCCCATAGTTATACTCTGTTTTTCTTACCGAATTAAACTACACTGCAATCTACTTCTAAGTTGTATTCTGGACTTCAATGCCCTCGTCTTCATTCTGCTACTGCCTTTTATAGAGGTTGGGGGAGAGATTTGGCTTAGCCATGTTGGTCTTCTTTTTACCCGATGGGTTTTTGCAAAAGAGAGGAGACCCATACTTCTCCCAACTTCCCCTTTACCTCTAATCAGAATTAGGAGAGATTCAGACGATGAATCCAGCTTTTAGGCACATCAATCTTCCCCCAATGTCAGCAGCGTCACTTCACCAACGGCTGTTCTTCCTTAGTTTCGAAGGATTGCTACATTTGGCCTCCTTCCCCCCGGATTCTTCCTCTTTTTAGGCCTTACACGATCAGTCCCTGTAGCAACTTCCAATTTGGCTTGAAAATTTGCCAATTTGTGACATTTTGCCCCATTTTCTGCCCGTATTGCATTTTAGTCCCTGGACAACTGCATGTCACCAAATTAGCCTATAACTATATAAATCTAACCTACTTGACCTATAATTAAAGCATAAAGAGGCAAACTGTATGCCTAAAAATATAGCACGAAATGCACTATCAGCCACCCATCTCACTAATTAGCAACCTCAACCCATTTGATCTCGATTCACCAACCTTATTAGTAGTAGGCTACAAATCAAACCTATGTTACCCGTTGTGCCGCTAAGTAACTCTCAACTTTCTGAATTCCCATTCTAAAGTGGACTAACTAACCCCGTTCTTCCACCCAAAATCTCAATTCATCATGTTCCCATTACCATCACGATGAATGTCATTATCTACCTTAAATATTGCCTGGTTTTCGATCTTTCATGAGTTAGCTTTCCTCTAATGGGTCCTAAATCTTACAAACTAATCCCACCTATGTAATTTTCCCCCAAGAGATCATAAGTAAACTCACTCATCAATTTTTTCCTTTCCAATACAATCAAGTAAAACATTCAACAACAAATTAACAATCCAATATTAACACAATAATGGAATTATCTACTAATATAAATTAGCAATCCATGGGGTTTTACATTCACAATTCAATAGGAGGAGTTTAGCTAGTCATAATAAAGGTGAAAGAAACCACACCTAGTTGACGAATTACGGGCTTCGAGACTTGAGAGGAAAGATACCACCTTAATTGCTCAAGATTCATCAAACCTTCCGATCTTCTTTCCCTCTTTTGCACCTCCAATGGTGAAAGTTCATCCCAAATGAACTAGTTAACTCCCCCTCTTTCTCTCTTTCTCTCCCCTTTAACTATTTAAAATGTAGACAAACTAAAATTATGCAAATAAATAAACCCTAATCTAAGAAATGAAGAACAAAGTTAAAACTTATATTAGAATGCTGAAAAATGAGACCAAAAGTCCTTAAATTCGTGTACATTGTGCTATTTTTAGGGGAGGGGTACATGGGACAAAAGTCCAATTACAGTAAAATCATTGGCACAATTACTCATCCTTCAAAATGGAAAATTCATAGACTTGTGGGTTTCATTTGCACGATATTTGGAACATTTGGGGCTGAAGTTGAGAGAGGCGCTTGGAAGGTGGAACCTTTAGTTGCAAGGGCTTTTGGAGACGGCCCCTTTTGTGCAATTTCTGAAAAGTATATTTCTTCTTCTTCGTCCTACACTTTTCCAGCCACCACGTCGCCGGATTACACCGCCGCCACCGCTCAAAATACAAACAATTTGTGAACAATGATCATCAAGCCTTAAATGCTCACCATCATTGGATCTACAAATATTTTGGACAATCAGGTCGACAACATTCAGTTGAACATTCTGTTTACAAGCGTCGACTTTGGCGTCGAGGTGGTAAAAGTCGACATATAAGTTGGCGCAGACAGATTGGCGACTCATAGACTTCATCTCTGATTTTTAACTCTTTTCGGCCATAATCAGATTTGTCCTTATAAAGAAGTGTTGTAGCTCTTCCTTTCAGCTTTTCATTGATATCCAACACACCCAAATCCGAGTTGTGTAGCTCAAGCTACGTTCCTCCAATTATGTCATATTCAACTCGTTTTCACACTTGAGCATTTTTAGCAATCGCATCTCATTTTGCTCCATTCCCTAGTCTTTTTATACCATTTACTTTCTTTGCAATTAGAAAACAGAAAACGCGAGAAATGTGCACTTCTAATTCAATAAATCCCCAAGAAATGAGTCAAACTGAAAGAAAACGCATGTAAAATCATATGAGATAGCGACTGTGTTCGCTTCTCATCAGCCGTCGACATATAGTGTCCAGACTCAAGAATTTGCTCCTTTGTGTTTATGAGGTTGTTGCCTTGATGGGAGAGCTACTGGAACTTCCCAGGTGTGAGGCATCTCAACTAGGAAATCAGCGAGCGCCTGCCCCTTAATGGCCGAATGGGGCTTATACTCGATATGATGTTCACCTAATACGACAGCCCACTTCATCATTCTCCCTAATGCTCATGTTTAAGTAACACTTGCTAGATGGGTTGTTCCGTCAAAACCTAGATGGTATGTCACTGAAAATAGGGTCTTAGCCACCGAGCCGCCAGTACCAAACTCAAATCAGTTTCTTCATGGGGGTATAGCGTGTTTCCGCATGTTGCAGGACTCTGCTCACAAAATACACTAGCACCTCCTTTCCATCTTTTTGTTGGATTACGACAGCGGAGAGAGCTTTCTCTCGAGCAGCCAGGTAAACATATGCGCTTCCTCCGGATCAGGTTTGGCCAATATGGGTAGCTCTCTGAGGTGTTCTTTCAATTCTTGGAAGGCTTTTTGGCACTCTCACCCCACTCAAATTTTCTACCCTTGCAGAGTACTTTGAAGAAAGGAAGACTTCTTTCTGCTGCTCGAGAGAGAAGTCTGTTCAGAGCAACAAGAGATCCAATGAGCTTCTGGACTTCTTTTAATGTTTTGGGTGCCTCCATTGCTAGGATCGCCTCGACTTTCCCATGGTCTATTCTTATTACGTCCTTGGAAACTTGGAAACCCAAGAACTTTCCTGACCCGACGCAGAAGGCACGTTTTCGGATTTAACTTCATGTTAATGATGCAAAAAATCGTGAAGATTTCTCACATGTCGTCGACCATTCTGTCATCGATATTGCTCTAAAGGACCATGTCATCCATTTGTGTTTGGAATGCCCTATTAACCAATCTTTGGTATGTTGCTCCGGCGTTCTTCAAGCCGAAAAGCATTTTCTCATAACAGTACACCCGATCTCTGTGATGTAAGCTGTTTTCTCGGCGTCCTCCTGAGCCATAAGTATTTGGTGGTACCCCTTGTATGCGTCGAGAAAGATGAGAATTTTGTATCCAGTAATGCCCTCAACCATTTGATCAATAACTGGTAAGGGATTACAATCCTTTAGCAGTGCTTCTTAGATCAGTGTAGTATTGACACATCCGCCATGAGTTGTCGGGTTTTTAGACGAGAGCTGGATTGACTAGCCAAGTGGGCCAAAGAACTTCTCGAAGGTTATTGCCACATACCAACTTGAGGGTTTCCTTGTTGATAACATCATTACGATCTCGGGCAAAAATCCCCTTCTTCTGTTGTATTGGCCTGACATTACGATCCACGTGTAACTTGTGCTCAATGATTTCTCAAGGGACTCCTGTCATGTTGGAAGGAGCCCAAGCAAATATATCTCGCAACTCACAAGCAAGGTGATTACTGGTAGATGGTAGTTGACACCTCCAAAAGAAATAATAACCTACTTAAAACTATTAGCTAGTAGTAAGTAGGATCGATCCACAGAGACGGCAGTGAACCACTTAAAATATGATTAATGTGCAAGCAAAAGAAAATAAACTGAACAGATTGTCACTTGGGAGAGTGAGGATAGTCACTTGACAGAGTGAGAAAGCAGAAGGTCCATCCACCTTTATGTCTATATGATCCAGATTCATTTAAGTTCTTCTTACATATGATTTATTATTTGATCAGGCATTTGTATTCTTTACCTTCCCCTTTATTACTAGTAAGGAGCCCCAGCATAACCAAATTACCTACCTCTCAGTGATAATTATTCATTATTTCGAGTCATTAAGTTCCTAAGCCTTATTGGTCACCTATGCCAATCAACTAATTCTCATGGATGATTGAAATTAAAGGGATGATGTCTCCTTTGTCATAGACTAATTTAAGCCATTCTAAAACTATGTTCACCCTCTCAGGATTCCAAAATTATGCATGCACAAATAGCTAGTTGATCAGTCTAACTAAAAGGTTAATTAAGACACTTAAACTAGAAACAATGTCTCACAAAAGAAACTGAATCAAAACCTTCACATATACACAGTAGGGGTTAGACCCTTAACTGAGTTTAGCTACTCATGTTTATTGAGCTAAACATGAGAGCAACAAAGTACAAAGGATTAAACATGATAATGAACAAAAGGTTAGAGGACAGAAGAGTAGTAGCAGAGCAGATTCTGTCTGCCCACTTGGGGAAGTGTACGTCGTCACTTGCCCGAGTCACAGTTTATACTCTTACTGCAACTACTACTCTGTTTCTATCCTAACTAACTTAACTAAATACTCTGATTCTAACTACCCAATCTGTTTTTTTAACTACTATTGGCTGACTATTTATAGAGAATTGGAGAGGCTTGGATTGGTTGAGTTTCTGGCCTTTTTCTTTGCAGCAGACAGAGGTGGCAATTTGCATCAGCTGAAGGTTTGTTTATTCAGCAACTTGTCCCAATTGCCAAGTTGATGTCTTGTCTTTGGCTATTCCTTCTCTAGCCGTAATTTGCCATCTTCATCTTATCATTGCTTTTTATTCTTGTCTTCTTCTCCGACGCCTCTTCACCGATTCCAGCCACAAATCTCTATTTCTTCTTTCTTTAATCTTCAACAACATCAATAGCAGATGTAGCAGGCAGCAACGTCAGCAGCATGCTTCCCTTCCATCGTTATGTTTCTTCCTATTCAGCCCCCAATTTGGCTTCAAATCTTCTCCTCTTTTCTTCCTTGTCTCCTGGAATCACTTGCAACACCATTTCTCGCCTCCTGCAGTAGCCATTCTTTAGCTTCAGTCAGCAACAGCAGTAGATGGCAAGTAGCAGAGTTGCGGCTACTTCCTTCTTCATATTCTCCCTCTTTCTCTTCTTCCACTTGTAGCAGCAGCAACTTGCAATGATGGTGGTGCAGTTCCTTCCTTTGGCAGCACGTCTTCAGCTCTGGTTTTCCGTGATTGACAATATCAACAGTAACTGCAGCAGCAACTTGGCAGCAGAGTGACTACCATTCTTGTTCTTCCTTTGGCTTGTTGCTTCAGAGTCCATCCAATTGAGATCATCTGTAGTCAATCTTCCTTCACCAGCAAGGATTCCTCCTCTTGATCAGCTCCAATCGATCCTTCCAGCTCTTGATTTCCAGCAGCTTCTGATTTGGTCCTTTTTTATGCTCTTTTGTGCAATTTGGCCCTAATTTATGATGATTTTCCACATTGTCCCTTTGATCACCCTGAAATACAAAATTGACCCAAAAGTAAACTAATTCTTCTTAATTGACATATAATTCTAAGTAAAAATGAGTAAGAAATGCCTGACAAAAGGGTTCTAATTTAAGTGTTATCAATTACCTCGTCCCGCAATGATCCTTGAAGGGATTTCCCATGTTGGATGGCTTTGGTTGGATCTTTGTCATACAAAACCAGTGGTTTTGTTTCACTACTCAATGGTGCCTGACTGCGTGAATCAAGGTCCATAGGTTGAGAATCATCATTCAATTCAGGTTGAGCTACTCCATGTTGGATAGAATAAATGCCTGATAGGGCAGTACTAGCGCTTGATTTCATGGCCGTCTTTTTGCTCTTTACGGGTGTTAATAAGCATTCTCGAGAACTTTGCTGGCATCCTTGAACAGCTCCCTTTCATATTCTGTGGGAAACTTCATCCCTAAATGGTAAGGTGACCAGATAGCTCGAGCTTTGCTCATCCATGGTCATCCGAGTATTACTCTGAAGGGAGACGGGGCGTCGATGATAGCAAAGTCTGTGACAAGTGTTAATATTTGAGGATGCATCCTGACAGTGACAGGAAGTCTGATGATTCCTATAAAGACAATCATGTGACCCGAGAAACCCATTAGTGGTATTGTAGTGCGGCGTATGTCTAGATTATGGATATTCATCTTCTTGAAGCAATCGAGGTAAATTATATCAACGGCGCTACCATTGTCCATGTATACTCTACTTACTCTAACATTACATGTTATTGCCTCTATGACCATGGTGTCGCTGTGCGGGCATATGTCAGTGACTACATCACTGTCTGTGAAAACAATTGCCTCTGTACCTTTGAACCGCTTGTAACTGGCCTCTTGATGAGGAGTTTTGGTTACTGTTCGAACGGACGCTTTCATAGCTGAAGTGGAAAGAACTTCAAGGGGTGCACCATAAATCACTCCCACATGCGTGGTTATCTGCTTGGTAGGGTCAGTTGGAGGAACTTGTTGGAGTGGTTGAGGTTGTTCAATAGTTTGTTGAGCAGGCTACTAGGCGTTGTCCCGAAGTTGCCAACTACTCCCTCGATTATCCCATCATAGGCCTCTAAAGTTACCCTTGGAAAAGCTGCGAGATCCTACTTTCCCTCTTTTCTGTTGGGCGTTGTCCTGCACATATTGCTGGAACTTTCTAGACTTAATTTCCTTCTCGATTTCTCATTTTAGCTCTTGACAATCTTCAGTGTCATGGCCGTAGTACTTATGATATTTGCAGTACTGATCTTGTGACCTCTTGGGATTAGGTGCCAAGGGCTTTAGAACCAAGAGTTCGTCCTTATGAACCTAGAGAATCTCCCGTCAAGGTTAGATCAGTGGTGTTAGCTGCATGTCAAGCTTAGAGAGTGCTGGTTTTGACTCTTGTATGGCTTTGGGTCTGTGTCATGACCACCGTTGTGCCTACCTGTTAAGTAAGATGGAAGAGCTTTCGCCAAGAAATTCAGGGATGCATTCCCGATTCTCATAATTTGTAGATATGCATCTAGGAATTGAGTGGGATCCGTATCTTTTGAATATTTCGCGAAGTCTTTTGCTAAGTCAAAAATTATGAGGTTTAGGACAATCCCGAATTTCAGCTATGAAGGGACTTCGATCTACGACTATTCCAATGATTCTTCTCATCTTTTCTTGAATGGACATGTTCTGCCACCCTAGTGGCCTTTGATCTTGAGGAAGAGGCGGAGTGTGGCGATCTTCTCGATGATAACATCCTTCTCGTCTAATTTCAAGAGAGCGCCGTGGATAATGATCATCTCGAGGAGAATAACGCTGTCCATTATATCTCTTATAACGGTTACCATCTTCTCGATACACGTCTTCCCGCTCCTCAGGGTGCCATTTGGGTCCAAGTCAAGAATGAACACCAGGCTTTCGAGGAGATGGGTGCCAGTCTCTTTCTTCTACATACTCGACACTGGGGGATCTCTCCTGAAATACTTTGCCATGATGACGACCTTGGGAGGCCTTGTTGCGCCTGTATTCTGCCTCATGTTCCGTTAGGACCAGCTGGAAGGTGGGATACTTAGCGATGGTACTTAGTAGAGTGAACCCGACAACCCGCCTGAACCGAACCCGTTTCGGTTGCAACGGGTCGGGTAATCGGTTGAATTCGTGTTTATTCGGGTTCACCCAATCAACCACATAAATACTTCAGTTCGGGTGCAGGTGGGGAAATTATTATTTGGGCACCACACGAAAACCCAAAAATATATAATTTTTTAAATATATATATATATATAAATACATATATTTACTTATGCCTTTTTCATTTAGGGTTAAGTTTTCCTCGTTCAATTTTTTTTCCCCTCATTCTGCTCTTCATCTTCATGGCTACTGGCCTTCTGCTGCGCTGCCGTTCCCACTCCATCCAACCCCCACAATCCGTGAATGACTCAATCCAACATCAATCCCCCTGAAAATCCCCTTAAACAAATATGTTATTTCTGATTCCTTCATCAATTCAATGAAATTGGAAGTTATATCCTTTGTTTTCCAATTCCAGATCTAACTCCTAGCTTCCACTTTCATGTTTCCACCACCAATCGGTCCACTTTCCAGATCTTTTAGCTCGATGTTTATGATCGAAACAGAGCCATTAGGCATCGGCTTCTTCTTCTTGATATTCTCCATATCGAAAAGCTTCCTCAATTCTCTCAAACTGTTAAGGTATGGATTCTTCTTATCTTCTCCTTTTACTTTTTTTGCTTATTGCTTGTTATGCTTTTGGATTTCAGTTGTTGGGTTTTTGAGAATCTGAGGTCTTTGAGGTCTTATTTCTCTGGTTGTGTTTATTTTTGTGACTCAATCGAGTGACGAATATTACTCGAAAAAGGATAGAATTGTCTTGACCATTGTGACTGGGAGATTCAAGGATAAAAGATTTGTTTCCTTGAAGCAGCTTGCCTTTGGTTTGTTGCTCATCACTGCTAGAAGGAAATGTCAAATTTTAATTAAAGACTGAAGGAAACTGCTTGCTGCAAAGTTGGGGTTGAATTTCACTTATTTGGCCTTTGCATTATTTTCGGTTTAATTGGTCCCCGAACTGAAAACCCGATTATTTATTCGGTTTGGTTCGGTTCAGATGTACAAAATCTTTGGTTCGGTTTTAAGCGGGTCTTATGACGACAAAAAATCCGATTAACCTGAACCGAATTCACCCGAACCGCACCGAACCGCCCGAATTAGCAGCCCTAGGGATACTTTGCGGTGAAGGTATCCAAAAAGCATGTCTCAAAAAGAAGTCAAGTATTGTTCTCGAGGGGTTTTGTGCTCTAGCGCTTCTTGGTAGTCCTCTTCTTCCAAGGCCTTACATTTATCCCGTGTTGCTTAGATCAAGTCAATGGTTCTGTAAGCCTCCTTTTTGTCAACTATATCATTCAGCTTCCGGTTGGTTCGGGTAATCCGAGTAAGTGGCGATGTTTGATTTTCTCATACACCCACTTCTTCAGCCTTGGGTTGACTTCGCTTTCGTCACGTAGTTTATTGAGCTCTGCCTCGATTTGGGCTAGCTTCTCATCATCTCTGTGGAGCTTGGCTACCTTAGCACACCGGTCCATTTTTTCTGGAACAACAAGAGGATCGAGCGTTGGTTTCTGAGGTGTCTTATCAATGTTGGGTTGTGTGCCTCCAATATCCAAACTTTCTTTGGTTGGTGGCTTGACGCCACTCTTCTGCTTTTAAGCTTTTCGAAATTGAGCCAAGGTAAGATCAACGTTGTGTTGTTTCTCTAGTGACGTCGAGTTGGATTGTGATTGTGTAACCTTGGCCATCTTTGGGTTGGTTTTGGAAACCCTAACTTGCAACGTAAGGTAAATGAATATAGCTTGAGAAAGCTTGTGACACAAACCCAAGTTTTCAGGTCTCACCGGGCATGCCACCTGACGAAGTCAAAACCTGATCACCTGTTGAGTGGTGGAACTCCGGTAGGGTTTAGGTGATCTGCAAAAGAAAACCTCGGGGATCTCGCGAGGGTAGACACTCCAATGCTTAAGTCAGTAAAGGGTTTGAGAGAAAAGTATTTGAGTCCTATAGGATGCTATAGATTGCATACCTCAATTATGATGTGATCAACCGTATTTATAGACAAGGGATTACTTGTGGATGTCCGAATCCTACTAGGTTTCATGTTAGTGAACCGCCTTATGGAGTCGGTTGGACCATATCATGCAGATGGGCCGGGTCCGATGATCTGTTGTGGATATGTACTCGTCAACAACAGATAATCGAAAATATTTTTCTCCAACCAAAATAGGGTTCTCTCTTATTAATTGTGTCATGGCAACAGAGCGTCCAAAATTTTCGCCTACTTGCCTTCTTCAATTTTTCTGTCAATAAAAATCATGTCCTTACTCGGCGACCATAATTCCTCTTCTTTTTTTTTTTTGATTGATTTGTGGAATTGATTTGTTTTTCTCGGTGGGGCTCGGCTGTTTATATGGTTGCTTTGGAGGTTTTTTTGGTTGGTAATGGCCAAAAGCTCGAAAAAAAAAAAAAGACTTTGTTTAGGGGCTCTTCATCTGGTGTTGGCCAGAAAAGGAAAAAAAAAAAAGAAAAGAAAAGAGTGAAGTGAGGACTTCATATTGCGTTCGGCTGATTTGCGGCTAATTTTGGAGTTTTTTATTATTATTTTTTCTTTTCTTTTCATTATTTTTTTGTGATTTTTGGTTGAACCATGGATGAGGTGAAAAAATTTCTTGATAAGAGAGTGGAGAATGGGATTGAAATAGATAAAAATTTCAGTGCAAGTGGAAATTCAACCCCGGCAGTCACAAGTTTACGTCAGGAACAATGGCAGTCTTAGGTTAATCTCATGACTATGAGAAACCATGTTTATCCAAGAACATTCATGATCAACATTCATCCTTGATTGGATGTATGATTGTGGCGCGACTCATCATACGACAAGTTTCTTTGGTTTTTTTGTTGATGTTCGTGATATTGATCCCCGGTCGGTACAACTTCTTACTGGTGAACTAATTGTAACTACAAAAGCTGGCAATGTTTGTCTTAGTCCTGATGTGTTTTTATCTAATGTGCTTTTTGTTCCTAGTTTGAGATGTAGTTTAATCTCTTTGTATCCTTTATTGGAGGATTTGGGGTGTGTTGCCCAAATTACTAATAAGAATTGTCTTATACAGGACCGTACTGCGGAGATGGTGATTAGACTGGGTGAATAAAAAAGGGGGTACTTTTTTTTTTTTTTGAGACACGAAGAAGGCGATGCTGGCTCACATTTCTAGTGGCAGATCTATGGACCTCTGGTACAAGAGATCAAGACATCCACCTTCTAATATTATTGGAAAATTATGTAATGTTACCCCGGTTAAGATGGTAATTCGCTGATTGAAAATTTTGATGTTTGTTTTTGTGCCAAACATACTAGAGAGAGACTTCCTATAAGTGATGTTTGCTTTCAATGTGACTTGTGGAGTCCTTATAGCATCCCGCCTTTTTGTGGAGCAAGGTATTTTTTGTAAAGTAACTTGGATCCACTTGCATGATAGTCTAGCCTGTTTCTGACCCTTTGATTGCTTTCTTTGCTATGGTGTATTGTCAATTTAAAAAGTTGTTTAAAGTTGTGCGCAGTGATAATGGCACTGAATTTACTTTTCTGCGTCATTATTTTCGAGACCATGGAATTATTCACGAAAGTTCTTATGTTGGTATTCCTCAACAATACATTCTCAATATGGCTCGTGCTTTACATTTTCAGGCAAATTTGCCTCTTGAATTTTGGGGCCGTTGTCTCTTGACTACCAGTTATCTTATTAATTGTACACCTTCTGATGTTTTGAGTGGTAAAAGTCCTTATGAAGTGTTATTTGGTCAAGCACCCTCACTTAATAACTTAAGAGTTTTTTGTTGTACATGTTATACTCACAATCAAGATCGAAAAGGACATGAGTTTGCTAGTTGCAGCCGAAAATATGTATTTGTTGGTTACCCATTTGGAAAGAAAGGTTTGTCTGTTTATGATCTGGAGACCAAGACATTTTGGTTTCTCGTGATGTCAAATTTTGTGAAGATCGATTTCCCTATGATTTGTTGGATGTCTCTGAGTCTAGGCCTGTTCATTGTACTTCTACTTGGGATATTGTTGAGGATGATGATGATGAGCCTAATGTTGTGAATCTTACTATCCCAAGTGTGTCCTCTGTTTGATCCGATTGTGAATCATGTTGACGATAATGTTATTTCAACTACTCCTCCTTTTGACCCTATGTCCTCCATAGTTTATGAGAACACTGCAGTTAGGGGGGGTTCTACCCCCACAGTCTTCCAAGAGTTTTCCCCCCACATTATGTCACTTGTAATCTTTTTCGAAAGAACATCAAATTTTTCTGGCAGATGTTACAGCATCTGTTGAGCCTTGTTCATTTGTTGTGGCTATTGGCTAGTGAGAAATGGAGGCATACTATGCAGCTTGAGATTCAGGCCCTTGAAAACAACAATACTTGGAGTTTGGAACCACTTCCCCCTGGCAAAAAGGCTATTGGGTGTAACTGGGTGTATAATGTTAAGCATTGGTGTGATAGTTCTATCGAGTGGTATAAGACTCGTCTTGTTATTTTGGGCTATAATCAGGTGAAAGGTATGGACTACAAAGAAACTTTTGCTCCTGTAGCGAAAATGATTACTGTTCACACTTTTCTTGTGGCTACCACGGCTAAGAAGTGGGAGTTGCATCAAATGGATGTTCATAATGCATATTTTCATAGTGATCTTGATGAGGAGGTGTACATGAAATTTCCTCCTGGTTTCCGTTCTGGCTCTTCAGGACAGGTGTGTCGCGTAAAACGCTCTTTGTATGGTTTGAAACAAACTTCATGGTGTTGGTTTGCTAAACTTGCTGGAGCTCTAAAATGGTACGGTTTTCATCAGTCATATGTAAATTATTCTTTATTTACTTTGTGTCGTGATTACTTGCATTTGAATGTACTAGTTTATGTTGATGATCTAGTTATTATTGGAAATGATTCTTCTACTATAGCTGCATTTTAATACATTTGAGCAATTATTTTCACATGAAATACCTTGGTCTTTTGAAGTATTTCTTGGGTCTTGAAGTGGCTCGTAATTCTTCTGGCATATTTCTTTGTTAATGGAAGTATGCATTAGACATTATTTCTGAGGTGGGGCTCTTGGGGCGAAGCCTGTTGGGTTCTCCCTCGATCAATCACCAGCTTCCGCTTGTAGAAGGGAATCTCCTCCGTGATCCTGAGAAATATTGAAGATTGGTTGGCCGTTTGATATATTTGGCTGCTGCTAGTCCTAAACTATCTTATTTTGTTCATATGTTCTCATGGTTTATGCAGAGACCCCTGCAAGCTTGTTGAGATACTTTTCTTCAAGTTGTTCGTTATCTAAAGGGCAGTCTTGGTCAAGGTATTCTATTTCATTCTGATTCTGATTTGCAGCTTACTGCCTGGTGCGATTTTGATTGGGCGGGTTGTCCTCTCATCCAACAGTCTCTCTCTTGTTGGTTTGTTCAGCTTGGTCATTCTCCTATTTTTTGGAAGACTAAGAAACAACATACTATGTATCGATCCTCTGTTGAACCTTTGTATCTCTCTATGGCTTCTACTACTTGTGAGTTGATATGGTTCAAATCGTTGTTGGCTCCTCTTGGTTGGCTCATTCTCACCCCATTGCACTTTACTGTGATAGCCAAGCAGCTCTGCATATTGCTGCTAATCATGTCTTTCATGAACGTATAAAACACATAGAATTTGATTGCCATTTCTTGCATGATAAAATGTTGAAGGGTACTATTTTTTCTAGTTTTGTCTCCACTTCTTGAAGGGTACTATTTGATTGCCATTTCTTGCAGTGCAATTGGCAGATATTTTCACCAAAGCTTTGGAGAAACGCAAATTTTAGTTCTTTCTTAGCAAGTTAGTCATTCGGAATTTGCATGTTCCAACTTGAGGGGGATTGGGTGTGTTAGAATGAGTTATATTATTACAAAGTTACTTAATATTTGGTAATTTGGTAACACTGTCGGTTCTGGTAACTTTGTAGCATTATATTATATCTTGTACGTAGACTTGAAAACGATTAATAGAAAACATTTTTCCCCATCCAAAATAGGGTTCTCTCTTCTTAAATCATGTGTGTGTGTGTGTGTTTGTGGCTCAAATTAAAGAAATCCTTTTTTTTTTTTGGGGTATCACATGGTTCTGGATCTAATTTTGTGTTTAGCTCAAATTAAAGAAATCCTTGTTTTTTTGTCTTTTTCTCCCTCTTATTGTAATCTTAATTTTCTTGTAATTAATTTTCTCAGTACAAGCTTACCGTTTAGCTTGCTCATCAGAAGTTTATCAAAACTAAATCTTAAATTAAGACACAACCTCACAAACTTATCTATTATTCAGTTTACCATCATCTTGTCAATCTAGTATACGATCATCAAGCTTGTGGGAAAAATTAACATTTTTATAGTGTCCATTATAATATTTTGCTGAGATTTACATTTTTTATCTAATTAATGAGATTAATGATGTTCATGTTTTCTCTATGCTTTAAAATGATCACATTATCTAAAAAAGTTCTCCTCAATGAAAAATTTTCACATTCGTACTAACACATATAATTAATTGTCTTTTCTCTTATGTCTGTTACATTAGGACATGGATGGATCGAACCTACATGTTAGAAACTTTTCATAACTTTATCGACACTCACACCCTCCTATTTGTTGCTTCACAGGGTTGAGGAGATTTTGATGATGAGGCACATATGACCATCAATCACTTGGCTATGAGGACAAAGAAAAAGAAGAAATTTTTTGTATTTTATTCAAATTTATAACAATACCTGGACTTGGTAACACAACTTAGATTTCTATCATCCTCGGGTCACCAGATCGGACTACGTGAATCAAAAAAATCTTTCACCCATCTTATCGTAGTAGGGTGCTGATTTTTTTCCTTAGTTTTTACTAAAATTGGGGTCTTTTGTATATATATTTTACAATTGGACCAAACTATTTATTAAATTTGATGATAATCTATTTTATTTCCCTATATATCTCTACCATTACTGTTATTAAAGTATGGAGATTAATTACTTATCAATTACCTCATTCCATGTGACTTGCTCAGCCTTTTATAAAGAGGGAAAAGTCAATAACTTTTGTGGCGCTTGGAGCTCCTCTGTGTTGAGCAATTTGAGAATATTAAACTAGTCGACGAGCACATGTATATTCATGGATGATGGTACTACTTAGAAAGAAGGTCCTTTCTTTTCTTATTATATTAGTGGAACAAGAAGAACATACATCTATTTCCCAAATCAATCAGTGGTTTATGTATTTCTTGTATTTAACAATGTTTCTGAGCAGGAGAAGATTTTTAACTGGTGATCAACATTGTGGATTGGTCCATCATATTTTCTTTAGACAATATTCGAAACATCTCCTAAAACATTTAACCTAATTTATTTGAAGAACATTGTCACCAGATTGAATAAAATCTTTAATAAAACAGTGCATTCATTAATAGGTTTATCCATTACATTTGTTTCTCTTTTATTTCTTTATCTGTACCTATTTTTTTTATTCCTTCCTTTTTATATTTTTTCATCATGCATTAAATTTGACTTGTATTTTTTTTTCTAAAGATAACTAGTGGAAGGTCAAGTTTAGATAAAGTATTACAGATAGTTCCTCATACAAATGATAGAGTCTAAAATTTAAGATTTTTTTTTAAACAAAACACAGTTAAAACAATATTCAATTATACTAGCTTAAGCACAACTAGAAAACAGGTCTTGCCCTAACAAAACTTAAACACATTTCCTAAACTGTCCCATATAACTGTTTTTACATTTTCGTACCATTGAGCTTCATATAATGTACCCAAGCCTCAAATGAAATCTGCCCCATCTACATACTGTCTTTGCATCTTCAGACCATTGAGTTTCAGATAGTCAACCCAAGCTTTAAATGAAATCCAAGGAGGCAGAGGCCCATCTTCCAAGACCACTTTCTCCAATGCATCATTGAGATTTTCAACATTCTTAATGATAGCAGGCATTCCTCTCTTGTAAAACTCCTCATTAAGTTTTTCAATGTTGCTGACTTCATCTTCAAAAATTTCATCAGCGCTACTAGCTGGCCCGATATGATAGCCTTTAACTCTTTCCCCAAAGAAGGGGTCATTACAACTCGCTTGACAAACAACGCGGCGAAGAAATCCTGAAGAGGCTACAATGGGTTCCTTCTTCACCTTTTTAGTATTATTTTTTGAGAAATCTTCATAAAGTTTCTCCACTACGGGTTGTAAAACATCTGATCCACTTCCTATCATCCCTACTTTGAAGTTTTTAAAGGAAGCCGGAACACCATGGTCGTTACAAGCAATTCCGAATACTTGTAGCCCATCAACAATGTTATATCCAGCAATAAGAAACTCTGCATCGTAGTACACAACATCACCATTATCATCAGTGTCAATAGACTTTAGGAGTTGAGCTAGCAAAAAATGATTGGATTCACGAGCAATGACAATCGAGGGTTGATTCCTCTTTAATCTCCTTAGCAATAGGTCAATGTCATTAATCTTTCTCACTTTAAATACCCGATCATGACAAAGGATGTTCAAACAACTTTCGAAGATATCATAATCTTCGAATGTTTCTCTAGTATCCACCACCATGACTGCGGAATCAGTTCCAAAATCATCTCTAAATTTAGCCAGAATGATGCTATTTCCACGCAGATATCCTCAAAATTTAAGATATATGTTCGAGTTTTATTGTTGTTTCCTTTTCAATCTTGGTTCGAGTAAAAAAATAAAGAAAAAAGGCATATAATTTCAGTAATCTAATGAACAATTCAATAAAGAAGTAATACAACTGAAATGGTCAAGTTCTACAAACCATTAAAGAAAAATCAACAAATAGATATAACTTACAGCAGCAAAGTGTGTGTGTTATCTGACTCATAATAAATACGACATTAATACCACAAAAAAGAACAAAAACAACAGAAAGGGATACTAATTCTTCAATTATAGAAATAGTAGAGCTATTGCACAATGTTTAAACTAATACATGAAAAACATCAAGGTGTTGTTTTTCGAATCAAATACATAAACACTTCCTTTAAGAAAAGAAATCATGATTTTAATTAAGGAATGATACCTTGTAGAGACATTGGGCGACGGAGCTGATTTTGTCGTTCTTCTTGTTTCAACCTTGGGATACAAACCAAAAAATATAATCATATTCGAGAATTCAATACAATCCGGAAAATAAAATTCCTTTCGAGAATTTAACAAATACATTCAAACCAATGTGCTTCAAAACTTCAATATTGTCTCGCACATCCTCGATAGCTCTATGTTCTTGCGGCCATCCCAAACCAACATGATACATTACACTCTGTAACGACAAAGAATTGGTCAGTCTATTGGTAGTTTTTTTGGGTTGAGGATACACCATTTCACAAAGGTCATAAACATCAATAACATCCTGAGGTACTGGTGTCGGTACACCAGCTCTCCTAAATAATTCATTTATTAGGAGTCGGTCACTCCTTTCTTGATTAAATCCTACCAAAACCTAGTCATGGAGGTATTTAAAGATCTATTACAAGACTCTTTCTCTTTCTCGCTCTTGAATCCCACAACATTATCCTCAAATTCTTTGCAACCCTTGAATTTTTTGGACCGGTCGAACTCGTTGGGGACACCAAAGAACCATTTAATTTCTTCCCCACCTCTTCAAGTGTCATCTAATTAACATGAAGTATACTTATCTCTATCACTTAATTTTTCTTATGTTTGTTGACGTGTTGAATCTTCTTTGTGTCAATAAACACCGCCCGTTGTAAATCAACATTCAATTAATCCATTGAATCCATACGTGTTCACCTCTACACTTCAAATCCCTATCTATAGGCTTGTTTATATATATCATATTTATTTTTATTTTATTTTTTTTGCATTCAACTTCATCATAATTTCAAGAGACTACCAAACAAAAATTTTTCAAATGTCTTCAGTTGCAAACATGCAAGCTTTGCCACTACTAAATACAGTAGATAAATCCCAAAATAAAATGTTTGACCTCATCATAATTTGTTCCAACTAGCAACTTAAACTAACAGATCATACAAAAACTACATGGGGAACCCCCCACCCACACACTTGGGCATTTCGAATATGAGTATTTTGTGGAATAGTTCAAATGAGTAACACCTCCTGTGCATGGTTCAAGAGAGTCTGCAAAGCAAATGGACATCTGAACTAGCTCCTCGGTGTGTCCAATCTCTCTAGGAGACATGCACCCCCTAAACACGTGATTAGCACAAATCATATCTGAACCCATTGAAAAATGGGAATTAGGGGGAGGGGGATATCATGAAGATTACTCCTTCAAATCTAACGTGGAAAGACTCCATGCCATCTTGAGTTTGGATTGCAATGATAAATCCCACGTCGGACATGAATGAAAGTTTTGGATCGAGTTTTACTTTATTAAGACCAAACATTTTAAAAGTTGGTTATTTCTTACAATATTGTACTAGGAAAATTTGTAAATTTTGTAGTATACGTTGTGTCACCTTTACTCTTAATTACCGTAGAAGGGAAATTTGTGAAAACACTCAATTTTAAAATATCTAATGTATGTGAAATAAATAGTGAACTACAAATGGTGCTAATATTAAACCATCAATGCCTTGCCAACAGCTACAACGTAAGAGAATCCTGATCTTTAAAAATATTCTTTTTTCGTGCATTAACATTTATGATTGTAAGTTTTTTTATATCAAAGTATGATGGCTATCATGATGTATGTTTTTTTTTTTTGTAAAAGATACATTTATATTTTTGGTTATACAGTTACTATAGGTTGACACAGTCCATCCAAAACTCAAGTATCGCAAGGAGCAGATATTCCTAATCATTAAAGGTCGGGACAACAAAAGGTTAAAATACATACATATTCAGAGTTGATGATGATGATGATGATGCAAAGAATCATGATATATTTGCAAATGGCATGGTTTCGAAAGAATGACTAGAACTGCCGTGTGGGTAATTTGATGAAGTTGAGCGTAGTAACAACAAAAAAGAACCTAATCTTGATGGTGTTGGGAGTCATGTAAGATATATTTTTAGTTTTTTATTTAATCCATTGTTTTTTTTTTCTTTATCTAAACTATGTAGTAACTGAATCTGCATGATCAAAATCTTGCATATACATGTTTTTCATCTAACCGTTGACATATTTTTGTATTACTTAAACAACTACCACTATATCAATGCCTCGATGACTACTATAACATATTTTTCATGTTTCTTTGAATTTGATGAATTTTGTATTAGAATTACTTTAGGCATTGAATTTTTGTTTGTAATTGTGGAAAACATACAACCTACGTAGTAAAATTATGTAGAGAATAAAAAATATGAAAAAAGAAACCAAAATACTAGTGAAAAATGAAATAGACATTCAGCTTGAAGAAATTTTCTTTGGTGTGCTTCGCTCCATCCAATTATTAGAATAAAAGAGTTCAGAGGTTCATTTATTCTGTGGTCTTTTCGGAGAGGATGAAGTTAAGTTTAAGGAAGGAAGAAATCAATTTTTTTAAGCTCTATGATAGTAACACTTACTCGTAACAGTTACTTCCACAATAGTAAAAGTACCCGTTCTCTTGAAATAATGATTGGAGTTTTTTTTTTTTTTAAAAAAAAAGAATCGACTCATATTAGTTAGTTCTGAATATTATACTGTCTTTTATATATTTGTATTTTCCGCCAATGAAATTCTTAAGTAAGCGCACCTATGCGATGGCAAATGATACCTTCTTCTCTTAAATCTTTACTTTTTCCTGAATCAACAACATCAAACATTACAAGTGCATAAAAGTAGATTCTCTCCCTCTGAAATATTGTCCAAACTAGATAAAAATAATTTTGGGACCAAAAAAAAAAAAAATTATAGAATATTCCATACTCGTCCAATGAGTGTTCCCACATAGACGGTCAAGATAAACTCATCAAGGTTTCCAACATATCCCAAATAGAGAAGATCAATAAATTAACTACTTTCTCCTCTATCCTAAAATGATTATTTAGTTAGATTTTTACTTTTAGTATAATTTTGAACTAATTGAACAATTTCAGAGCAGATAAAAGAATATTATAATATACAAACCGTACATGTCTTCCTCTAACCCGGCACTTTTTTGATTTATAATGTAATATCCGTCACTATCTAATTAAAATGAGAGAAGATGAGAGAAGAATCTTGAGCAAATTTAGCGACGAAGATGAGAGAAGAATTTTTAAACGGTGAATTATTGCGAGCGATGCGAATATCAATGAATTCGCAATGCTTGGATAATTCTTCACTAGTAGTATTCAGGGCAAGAGGAACAGATTGATGATGCTCCCAGACCGAGAAATTGGACTGAAACAAAGTGTTTAAAAGATTATTTTGACAAGTTCAGGAAAAAGTGTGAAGAGAAATTTCAAAGAAATTATTACAGATCTTATTAATAATTTACTCTTGTAGTTCAATAACTGACAAAGAGTGACAAAAATTCGTTTTGCGTGTCATCACTAATATCAGTAGTTATCTTGTTAATTTTGCTAGGTATACTAGATTACTGGTGACTGACTAAGGTGGCATTAGACAGATTTTTTTTCTTTATTTTTTCCCAAAGAAAAATTGAAGTTTATCTTCTAAATTTGATCCGACAGCAATGGCGATGATGGCTATGTACAATGGACAATAAAAAGAAAAATAAGAGAAAAAAAGTACTATACATTACTGTCTAAAATATACATATAAATTGTCTGTATTTCTAAAATTTTAATGTTATCAATATCATCTGTCCATTTTCTTTTGTGAATTTCTTATTTATCTTGTCCAGGTGAGTAATGGAATAGACAAGCTACCCTTTTGTCTTAGCACCATTTTGCGAAGGATGGCTATTTATTTCATTTATTACTAGCTAATTGAAATTAGGATCCTCTAAAACTACTCCATGTAGCCCTCAAACTCTTCCAGAAACTCATTTTGGAGTGAAATTTGAAGAAAGATATGTTTTTGTTCTAATTCAGTATATAGTTTCATACTCCATCAGCTCTGAACTTGTAAAGGAACATTGATTGGCAAAACACAGAGAGAGAGAGAGATCTCATGAGTTTTGTGTTTAGAAGACTTTCCTTTTATTGTTTTGAGATACGAGATCCTAAATAAGCAGATATTAGAAAGTCTCTTTAACAATTCTTGGTGATTTCGATACATGCTACATTTTTTCCCCGCTCTTCTTTGAATTCTTTTAAATTTTTATTATGTTTTGATTGAGAAGAAATAATACTTCTTCCATTCCAAAATAAGTGTCGTTTTAGCAAAATGGAGAAATTTTAAAATAAGTGTCGTTTTCGGATTTCAATGTATTTTTTGTCAAAAATTTCCAAACATACCCTCAAAATAAATCATATTATTGGTGAACATTTATTTTAATGGGGTTAGTTGAGAATATTCTAGTAATTTAGCTACCCTATTTAAGTGTTTATTAAACTGTGTGCAAACTCTAAAATAATATTTATTTTGGAATGGAAAGAGTACAATCTTGCTTTTGTCAAAATATTGGATAATGTCATAATTAATTATAATTAACTTTTCATTAGGACGGACCGATATTACTTTCTAGCATTTTTTTATTACCTTACAACGAATGATTTTCTCTATTTCCTCTCTCTTTTTTTTTTCTGAATATATTTTGCTCTCCCTTGTGCATCATTATCTCTCAGTTTGTCAGCTTTTAATTTTTAAGATTAATTGAAAATTCGTACTTAACAAATGACATATGAAACTAAAAGGGGTCAATTGAAGTTTCTAAATATGGAGGGTGTTTCTAACAAACCGACACTGACACTACCAGATACATGGAGCAAAAACACACCATAAGAGTAACGTCACATTTGTCCAGTTTGAATTGGCTTTCTGCCTTTTTCTTCCACCTAATTAATAGTATGATGAATAATCACTATGATAATTGAACCCACTTTCACTTTCTTCACTGAATGAATGAGTTCTTCTCCTGATGCAATAAAAATGGCTGAAAATCACACAGCATTCCCCCAACCAGAAACTGGTGATGGGGTTCTTTTGTTTGCAGTGAATGGAGTGAAGTTTGAGTTGGCAAGCATTGACCCTTCCACTACTCTGCTTGAGTTCTTACGCTCTCAGACCCCTTTCAAGAGTGTTAAACTTGGCTGTGGTGAAGGTTTGTTAATTCCCTCTATCAAATTGATTCTTTTCTGGGTGTTTTCTGGCACTGTTTGTTTTGTGTTTCTCATGTTGATGAAATATTACTTGCTGTAAATTTCCTCTGCCAATTGATTTTATTGTGAATTTCAGATACCCATTTTAGAGTTTTTCTAATTTGATTCAAGTTCCGTGAACTAAGCTAGAACTGCTTTTTTCTTGGTGTTAGTACAAAGAGACAGCACAATTAACTGTACTTAATGTGGCTGTCTTAATGCATGAGTTAAATATGGTGATCCAGATGACAAGTAATTGTGTGAATACGCAAATAGTGGGATAAAGATTTAGTTCTAGTAGTTGTTGTTGAACTCTGCCCGCAGAATTATCCAGATATCACAATTTACAGTCTATTGTATATTGGTAGATAGTTTTTATGGCAGTTACATTTTTTTTGATGTGTTTATTCTTACTCCTGGTGCTTTGCATCACTTGCTCATGATGCTCATTTAAAGCTGTTATCTTGTTTGATATGGTGTAGGTGGCTGTGGTGCTTGTGTGGTTATGCTATCAAAGTATAACTCAGAAATTGACCGAGTTGAAAGTTTTTCTATGAGCTCTTGTCTTACCCTTCTTTGTAGTGCGAATGGTTGTTCAGTTACTACAAGCGAAGGCTTAGGAAACAGTAAAGATGGTTTCCATCCAATTCATCAAAGGTTTGCTGGATTCCATGCTTCCCAATGCGGCTTTTGCACGCCTGGAATGTGCATGTCATTTTACTCAGCACTCACCAATGCAAAAACATTGGAGAGGCCGGATCCTCCACCGGGATTCTCCAAACTTACCATTACTGAGGCAGAAAATGCTATAGCAGGAAATCTTTGTCGCTGTACTGGATATCGACCCATAGCTGATGCATGTAAAAGTTTCGCGGCAAATGTTGATTTGGAGGATTTAGGGCTGAATACATTTTGGAGGAAAGGAGAACCAGAGGAACACAAACTTAGAAGTCTGCCTTTGTTAAATCCAGATCTTCATGTCAGTAAATTTCCAGACTTTCTGAAAGGAAAAATCGATAAAACAATGAAGTTGAAATTTGGAAATTGTTGTTGGTACAGTCCTACTAGCCTAGAGGAGCTTAAAGCCCTATTGAATTCCAATGCATTTAACAGCAGTAGGAGGATTAAGCTAATTGTTGGTAATACAGGTATGGGTTACTACAAGGAGAAAGAGTGCTACGAGAAATACGTTGATCTGAGGCATATACCTGAGCTTTCTGTGATAAGAAAAGGTCAAAAGGAAATTGAAATTGGTGCTGCCGCGACAATCTCTAGGGTCATTACCTATCTGAAGGATTATGATACAATAACTGCATCCTCTGATGGCAAGCTATTTCTACAAAAGATTGTTAACCATATGGAGAAAGTTGCTTCGGGGTTCATTAGAAACACCGGAAGTATTGGAGGGAATCTTGTAATGGCACAAAGGAAAGGTTTTCCTTCAGATATAGTTACCATACTTCTTGCTGTAGGTTCAAATGTTAGTATTATGACCGGTCAGAAACATGAAAGTCTTACACTGGAAGACTTTTTAGCTAGCCCACCCATGGACTCGACTAGCCTGCTACTTAGTATAAAGGTTCCAATTTTGGAACCAGAAAGAAATGGTATAGTTGCTGGATCTAGTTCTAAGTTGGTTTTTGAGACCTATCGTGCTGCGCCACGTCCACTCGGGAATGCTTTACCTTATCTGAATGCTGCATTCTTAGCAAATGTGTCTCCTCATGAAAATGGAATACTAGTAAACAGTATTCATTTGGCTTTTGGTTCTTATGGGACAAAACATGCAATACGAGCAAGAACTGTTGAGAAATATATTTCAGGAAATGTAGTGAGTGCTAGTGTTCTGCTCAAAGCAGTCAAATTAGTTCAAGAAGCTATAATACCAGAATATGGTACTTCACATGCGGCTTATAGGAGGAGCTTGGCTTCAAGTTTCCTTTTTCAGTTTCTTTCCCCATATGCCAGTGATCTATCTGCTAATTTTGGTGGTTTGCATGGTGGACTTAGTGAAAATGTTCAGGAGATGTCTCCCACAAACAATTGTAACAGTTCCAATGGTGAATTAGCAAATTTAGCATTGCTGTCAACAGGAAGTCAGCAGATAAAACCGAATTCAGAGTATTACCCAGTTGGAAAAGCAATGACAAAGTTTGGAGCTGCTATTCAAGCTTCAGGTCTTTTACCATACACTTCATCAAGATGATTTATTTGATTTAGAATAGATTGATAATTTTTTAAAAATCTCAAAGTTTCAAGGATATTGTATTTACTCATCATCAAACACCTCAACCTCTCTTTCCTTAAACAAACTTACCACTCTCCAATCTGCATTGAAGATCTATCTCCCAGTTGCAGCAACTCCATCAATTATTTTTCAAGGTGCATCAGTATCATATAGAATAGATCATTAGCAGTTGTGTAGATTATGGCAAGTGGATTAACTGAGTGATAATCTTGCATCACAAGAAGCCACCATATGGGATTAGTTGCAGAAAAAACCAACTTTGAGTAGAACTGTGGACAAAAATTTCTGTGGTAGTGTTCCATCAGCCAACTTTAGTTACTCATTTCAGGCGCTAGATATCCTATGACAACCTCCCTTCATCTTAAGCGTTCCCCATTGCCACCAAATGAAACCTATAACACTGTCTTTCAAATGCAGCGGATTCTGGGTTGATTATGATAGCTATAAAGAATCTTCCTTGAGCCATTTTATGTGGAGCCATTAAATCCACATGTAGTCCTTGCACAAAACCTCCATATGTGTTTTGCTGATTGCCCATCTGTTACAGCCGCCGTCCTTCCTTTTGTGACAGTGGATATTCTCCAGCTCCCTTGAGCTACATTTGTTTCTCTTCCAACATGCCTCCTAAACTATGGCATCATGCTTTTGATCTCTTAATCTATTTTTGTGTTGAAGGACAAAATGTTCATACAGTCAACATGGCAATTTTGCGCTATGGTATTACTAGGTTGTAGCCTGCCATTATTGTAATCATCCTGGCTCATCTTTCTAGCTTAAATTGCTCATTTTTTTCTCTGTCTTCCCTTTTCCGATCTCTTTGATCTCCTGAATGTCTGCATGTTGTTTTTTCTGACCCTGTCTCAAGAAAGTAACAAAAAGATTCCAGAGACTCATAGTGAATTCTGTACTTATATTAGTATTGTTGCTCTTGCAGGAGAAGCTGTGTATGTAGATGACATACCTTCACCTCTGAACTGTCTGCATGGAGCATTTGTTTACAGCACGAAGCCTCTAGCACGGGTGAGAGGTGTTGATTTTCAATCAAATGCTGAACCAAGTAGAGTTGCTGCTGTTCTATCTTATAAAGATATTCCAAGTGGTGGGGAAAATGTAGGATCGAAGGGTTTACTTGGTTTTGAACCTTTATTTGCTGATGAACTCACCAGGTGGACTGGAGAGCCAATTGCATTTGTGGTAACTCCATACCTCCAGAACTCTTTTTGTTTATTATTTATTGTTCACGTTCCTTACAATTTCAATATCCTCATGTAAATTTTCTACAGGTTGCGGAATCACAGAAATTAGCTAATTATGCAGCTAACTGTGCCCTGGTCAATTATGAAACCAAGGATTTGGATCCCCCGATTTTAACTGTTGAAGAGGCTGTCAAGAAGTCAAGTCTTTTCAAGATCCCTCCATTCTTGTGCCCTCAGCAAGTTGGTGATATTTCAAAAGGTATGGCTGAAGCTGATCTCAACATTCTTTCCACCGAGGTACTTCCTAATCTTTTGTTTTTTTGTTTCATTTGTATTAAAGCATTTTCTGTAGTTGGTCCTCTATTGGGAATGAACCAATAGCCCTGTGGTCAGGGCAAGTTACTATGCTGTCGAGGGATGCTTACCAATTCATCTGCTATATGTTATTTCCAGCTTAAACTTGGATCACAATACTATTTTTATATGGAGACACAAACCGCCCTTGCTGTCCCTGATGAAGATAACTGTCTGGTAGTTTATAGTTCAATTCAATGCCCAGAGATCGCACACAGTGTAATTGCAAAATGTCTTGGGATACCAGAGCATAATGTCCGCGTCATCACCAGGAGGGTTGGTGGAGGATTTGGTGGCAAAATGCGAAGAGCAATCCCTGTAAGTATCTTCAAATAACTATAATGCCTTCATATTCGTCATTTCTGTGAAAATATAGGTTTGGGAATAGGAAATGGAAACTGATTGCATTATAGGAGCTCCTTCATGCTTGGTTCTTGAATCAAAGTATCTTTTCTTTGTAGTCCCGTTAGGGATGGTTTCTGGACTTTGTTTTTCTCCTTTCCATACACCAAACCCGTTAGGGATGGTTTCTGGACTTTGTTTTTCTCCTTTCCATACACCAACTTCCAGATTCATATAATCCCCACACATTAGCATACCTTCATTTTTGTTGGAGTGACTGGGTTATAATAGTACGGGTGTTGAAAAATAATAAACTTAAGACATATATTTCAGGTTGCGACAGCATGTGCACTTGCAGCGCACAAATTGCGGCGTCCTGTCAGGATATATCTCAACCGCAAGACTGACATGATAATGACTGGAGGAAGACATCCCATGAAAATAACTTACAGTGTTGGATTTAAATCAAATGGAAAGATTACAGCGTTGCATCTGGATATATTAATAAATGCAGGGATCTCAGCTGATATGAGCCCAATCATACCATTATTCCTGATTAATTCTCTTAAAAAATATAACTGGGGTGCTTTGTCTTTTGATATAAAACTTTGCAAGACAAATCATTCCAGCAAATCTTCAATGCGAGCTCCTGGAGAAGTTCAGGGATCTTTTATTGCTGAAGCTATAATCGAACATGTTGCATCTACACTTTCAATAGACGTTGATTCTGTTCGCAATGTAAACATTCATACATTGGAAAGCCTGAAACTATTCTATGGGGAGTCAGCGGGTGAAGCTGCAGAGTACACTTTGCCTAATATATGGAAAAACTTGGGCGGAACTTCTTCCTTGAAGCAAAGACTAGAATTGATGCAGCAGTTTAATAGGAGTAACATATGGCAAAAGAGAGGTATTTCACGGGTTCCAATAGTGTATGAGGTGAGGCTAAGACCAGCCCCTGCAAAAGTAAGCATTCTTTGGGATGGTTCGATTGTTGTAGAAGTTGGGGGTATTGAATTGGGCCAAGGGCTCTGGACTAAGGTAAAACAAACTGCAGCATATTCTCTTAGTTTGCTTGGTTGTAGTCAAACTGAAAACCTTGTCGAAAAAGTTCGAGTGGTACAGTCAGACACTTTAAGCTTAATTCAAGGTAATATCACTGCTGGTAGCACCACGTCAGAATCAAACTGTGAAGCTGTGAGATTATGCTGCAATGTCTTGGTTGAAAGGCTGTCTGCACTCAAATATAAGTTGCAGGAGCAAACAAGTCAGGTTAATTGGGACAATTTGATACTTCAGGTACTTCTCTTTGCTACACAGGTATTCTTTCCCTTGATTTTACTTCAGGATGGAATTTCCTCTGCTTCGCATCATAGCTAGTCAAGCATCTTGTCTTCCTGTTATTGCGAGTAAAATATTTACCTTATGCACCGTGTTACTGTATGAATTAAAACATGATATGTTTTATGGAAACGGCCTTCGACTCTTCACCAATTGCTTCATCTTATCTCAGATTGTTGGTCATCATCAGTCTGCAAAATCTGTTCTGACTTAATATTTTCCCCCCCTAGTTTCATTAAATTTTAGAAAATAAAATCCAACTGGACTTGTCTGATCACAGGCACATTTACAATCTGTAAACATGGCTGCCCATTCATACTTTGTACCTGATCGCACTGCCACTTCTTATCTGACCTATGGTGCTGCTATTAGTGAGGTAAATTTTCTTTTTTCAACACCTCTGTGAATATAAGAGCCATGATGTCTTCCAATCTACTCACCAACTGCTTGAATGCTTGAATGTGAAGATTTGACGACTCTCTGGGTGTTACAGGTGGAGATTAATACACTTACAGGAGAAACCAAGATATTGCGAGCAGACATTGCATACGATTGTGGCAAGAGCTTAAACCCTGCTGTGGATTTGGGTCAGGTATTGTCTTGTTTCTGTTTTTCCAATCTGTTAAAGGCTGTATTTTTATCCTGAAATGCTTTACTTTTCGCTATCAGTTGTGCTCTAGCATATTTTGTGTTCTACTTTGTTATTTCACAGAATCAGTTGAAAACAAGTATCTTTGTAATTTTTGGCTAGTGATGTTAGGTTATCTTTAAGTATATTAAGCGAAAGTATGCTCAGAAGATGATATGAGATGTCTTGACGGTTTCTTCTAACAGATAGAAGGAGCTTTTGTTCAAGGTATTGGATTCTATATGCTTGAAGAGTATGTTACCAACTCGGATGGACTAACGCTCACAGATGGGACATGGACATACAAAATCCCTACAATTGATACAATACCAAAACAGCTCAATGTTGAAATTCTAAACTGTGGAGAACATCAGAATCGTGTTCTATCATCAAAAGGTAATACTTCAAGCTTTTCACGGTCTAAGTACTGAACCTCTACATGCATAATTGTCTTTTGTCTATCTGGTTAAAACATAATTGAAAGCTTCGGGAACAAAAAAGGAGTTCCCAAGCTTCTAAGCCTGATATGGAAGTACAGAAGAAAGATAGTGAAACATAGTTCAACTCCATAACCGGTAGTGCCTACTGAGCCAACTGATTGTCATTCTTTATCATCTCTTTTTCTGATAACTGATATACAATGAAGAGTTGGACCATTTGTAAAAACTGTGTCTATCAATTAAACTATTGCATAGACGCATAAATAGAAAGGAACATGGTGTTCATCCAATCTTCAATGTCAGAAAATTTTTTAGTGATTTTATTTAGAAAAAGTTAGTACCGCATCTGCAAATCAAGATTGGATTAATCTGACAATGGAAAGATACATTCTAATTTTGAGTCCTGTTTTTCACTTTCTCTAAAAGCCAATATCTGGCTTAAGGAAGTCTGTGGTTGTCAAATGTAATTATAATTACGGGAAACAGCTCTGTTCTGACCATTTTCGGCGTTGCAAGCCCAATGGCGAGTAGTTCAAGATGGAAAAATGAAGTATCTTACATCTCAGAACTGTTTCACTTATCCTTGTTTGTGCAAATGAACTAACTTAATGATTCTGAACGCACAAAATGAGTTTCACCAGTGGATGCTAAATTTGAGTTGCATCATTTTGCAGCCTCGGGCGAGCCACCTTTGCTTTTAGCAGCATCGATCCACTGTGCAACCAGAGCGGCAATCAAAGCAGCTAGAGAACAGTTGCATAGTTGGAGCAAGGGCGATGAACCTGAATCAACGTTTCAGTTAGATGTCCCTGCTATTATACCTGTGGTGAAGAACCTCTGTGGCTTAGATAATGTTGAGAGGTACCTGGAAAGTATACTTCCCGTCCTTGATACCACAGACAATTAGACATTGTTTGTCTGTGAAAACCAGCAATTAAAGCTTATGATTGTCCTGTTTATATTTTCAATTTTAGTATAAAGTGAACGAAAAATAAAAATCCACACTATACAATCATTTCGAAAGGAGTATGTTGGTTGTCCACCATAGCATACTTATTGTAGCTCGAATGAACCACGTGTGTAATATCTGTTTGTAAATTTCGTGCAGTGTATAGAAAGAATGTGTACAGATAATCTTATGAATATGTTGTGATAGCGATTGGATGCCTCGCAGTTGGGAAATGTATCAAGAACTAAAGATGTTTATATAGTTCATAAACAAAGCGTAAACTTTATCATTTTATACTTCAATTATCAAAACTGAAGGATTTTATTATGCTGATATGAAAGGCTAATTTGCATTAGTATAGGCTGTTGTTTCGTACTTCAAAAGTTTCGGATCCTATCAATGAAAATTTCTAGCAGAAAATGAACAACTCTAATTCCATTAGAAACAGTAACACATCCAAAATAAGCATTATAGGAAAGAAACAAGGTCAAGGTCCATAATATTGACTAATTATGATAAAAACTAATCCTCTCTAACTAGAAAATTGAAACTGCAAACTGTGCAACTCTAATAAGCCGGCTTAGGTTAAAAAGAGACACCAATGTCAGAACAGCCAACGAACGTCACTCATGGATTGAGGTGTTGCAAGTCAGAGGTTTCAGCCGCAGCGTGATAGTTTTCAATAGTTTGCTTCATCTCATCTACTTGAGCCATGACATACTCCAGTTTCTTGCAACAGATCTCATTAGATATTCGTGGAACATAATCACACTTTTCAAATGGACGATATTCGCAAGCGCTTTTGATTTCTTCTCGCAGTGTCACCTGGATATCCTGCTCGTCAAAGGTATAATGCAGTTAGATGAGTATTTCACTAGGAGTTTTTAAGATGAAGCTACAACTAGAAGTGTGGCAAAACATGACAACAATAAGAACCACTAAGCCTACAGATATACCTGGGAGGCAAAAAATTAAAACCCATGCAACAAAGTACCCATTCACAGTAGAAACATCTGAAGGTACACTTGCTCAACTACAGGTCATATCTCCATTTAGTTCCTAAATTTCAAATTCAACCTATTTGGTCATCAAATTTGATAATTTATCTCTAACTGATCCCAAAACTTGGATCTTAGGAAAACAAACAACAGATTCTCGCAATCAAGTGACAAACGATTGACAAGTGCCTGCTACTCCCTGGGGCCGGGAATATGAACAAGTAAGCCCTGTTCTACTTTCCAAGTTTCTGGCATGATCCCCACAATCTACTATCTGTTTACCTAAGATTAGGCTTTGGACAAATAAAAGTCAACAATATCAAATTTATGAATCACATAAGTAATTTCAAGCTCAGAAACCAAACGAAAACAAACCCTCAATTTAAACAATAAACATATCCAAATACCCAACTCCATTAACTGAAAACAAAAAAAAAAAAAAAGAGTCTTAGCCTTAAACACCAGCACAACCCACATGTAAATACTGTTCAATTTCTACAGAATAGTCTTTCCCAACCTAAGTAGTGCTAAAACGACACGATACATGAGCCAAAAGGGAAATGAAGAAATAAGATTCAAACCTTGATCAACTGCATGAACTCAATGCAGTGATTATTAACAGTCTCCTTCCTTGGGCCACTAGGGCTTGCTAGTTCCTCCATCACGCTTCCGGCTAAATCCAAAACCTTTACAATTTTCTATCATCAACCAAAAACAAACGAAAAAACCCATTAAAGGGGAGAAAACAAATCAACCAAAAATCGCCGAAAGAATCCAGATAGGATTAAGAAGATGATACCTGTTCCACTTTTTCAAGCCGTTCAAGCGACGTCGTATTCTGTGACTGTGAATCCATGGCGCCTTTGCTGAATGAAGGAAACAATTACTGAAAAGGAGTGGAAGCGTTCTATAAATTGTTACCGTATTAAAAAAAAGAAAAAAGGAAAAATAATAATTTACCAGTTACCGCCTGGTAAACTAGTCAACCAGCGGTGAATTTCTCCTCTTTCTTTTTTTTTTTTTTTTCGGTAGATGAATTTCTCCTCTTTCTAGTTTCTAGACTTACACCAGAAAAGTCGCAATATCAGATATGTTCACTATACATATTTAGCCAAAAAATTTTATCTGTATCGATATACCACTAAAAACAGTGACAGTTTTTTTTATCGGTTAAATTTGTTTTGTTTATTTCAACCAATCTGAAAAATTAAAGTGACAATATAACTAAACGTTAACCAGTTCACAAGTTTGAATAAAAATGAACAAAAATAAAATGTACCAAAACATTTTTGAAGAAAATAAACAAGAAGTTTTTTTTTTCTTTTTTTGGCCTAAATGATATGGAACTGCTTAGGTCATTTGATCTACTCACTCTGCTTTAATGAGATTTTTTGATTTGTCTTAAATTTTATTAAATATTTTTGTAATTAAAAATATAATTTCAAAAATGTTATAAATAAAATTATGAAGATCTATCAAAATAACCAAATATTATTTTTTCTAATTAAAAATAAAATTTTAAAAATGTAATAAAGAGAGGAGAGAATATGTAATAATGAATATAATTATGGAAAAATGTGGAAGAAAATTTATCAAAATAACCAAATATTAGATCATAATTAATGGAAACAATTGTTCATATTAATTTTTATTTTATACGTTTTTTTTTATTTTGGGTTAGAAAATCAGCATGTTTTTTAATGAGAGAAATTTAAGTGCAGATCATCCTTATTCATCAGATACTGACTTGTCTACAGGGGTGTAAATGAACCGAGCCACTTGCAAGCTACTCGCAAGTCGGCTCGGTCAAAACTCAACTCGAACTCGATAATTAAACGAGCCGAGTTCGAGCTAATTCACTGTCCGCTTGATGGCTCGTCGAGCTAAATGAGCATGGTATTATATTTAAATTATTTTTATTTATAAATAAAATATGGGGATTTAAATGATTACTGACTTACCTTGAGAACAGATATATTTTTTTTCTTCTTCTTCTCATCAAGTTACCATCGATTTTATCTCCATTTTTTCTCCTCTTCTCAAATTACCATAAATTCTATTATACTAGCGTAGATACACCGCACATACCGTGAAATCATCTGAACTTCATTTTTATTTTTTTTTTTACTCTCTTCATCACCAAGTGCGAATACTCCCCTGATACATATTAGATGAAATTATTGTATACATGTGCCAACTAACCTAGGGATGAATTGCAATAGTCATTTGAGTCTCTAAGGTAGTTCCTTCGTTCAGTTAAACCATGCTTGAGGTAGCATCTAGCTGAAAAGCTCATGAGCTACAATGATTACTCTGTTTCTTAGCACTTCTTCTTCACCAAAATTCAGCTACCAAAAACTAACAACAAAATAATTTTTCTAACTACAATACCACATCCAAACCTAGAGGAAAAGAGAGTATCTTGTTGTTTATAAATAAATCAGATTCATCAATATTTGTTTTAGTAATCTGTGAGGTAAATATAATCAAATACCTCACATGCAACCAAATAAACTCCAATATTTGAAACAATTCAGGGACACTACTTCAACCCACATTTAAATTTAAAGTAAGTTTTTTAGCAGAAATCCAAAACCAAATATATACTTATTCACGCTAAGCAATTTAGACAGACCAAGAAAGTAACTATTTAACTCATAATTTAAAAAATCAAATGCAGAACAAGAATCATAAAACCTAATTGAATGAGGGGTAAAAGGAACACAATAACAAAGAGCTAATCTCTTGGAATTCCTATCCCCGTCGCAAGTAAAAGTTAATTCAACTAAAATCTCAAGGAAATGGAAGGGGAAAACTCCATAAATTATAGCTTCTTCTTCTTCTCCTCCTTCTCTTGTATATGATTAGGCTAGTGATATTGCCAAATTAAAAATTAGCTTGCAGAGCAAAATATTACTCCTAACCCCAATTTACCCTTATTAGTTAACCATCGTTCATCATCCATTCAGCTATTATTTTTTGTTCTATTTTTCCTTTTCATTTTTGGTTTTGGCCTTTTGGATACCAAAATTCTTTTGGTTAGTTTCTTTCTATCTCTCTCATAACACATATCTCTTTTGTACTTACCCCTTCATGTCTTTCCAAATATGTAAGAATGAGAGAAATGAATATGCTTTAGGATTGAAGAAGTTATCCAATAGTCATATGGAATCCCAGAAAAAAAAAAAGAATCTTACAACACTTAAATCTATTAAAAGTTATATGCGTACAACATGCCCAGTAGGAATAATTATGAATTAAGCAATTAAAGAACAGTGAACCAATCACCATTCATGAAAATATATCAAGAAAAATAAAAATTGATTTAATAAATACAAGAGCAGACACCAGATCCATAAACATGTATCATTTAATGTACTAGTAGACTGACTAAACACAAATCTTGCAAATTTTGAATTTAAAGGGAGAAAAACGAAAAAAAGAGAGAATTATCTAAGATTGGATGGAGGAGTCAGATGAACAGAGACGCTGAAGGAGATGCTGGGATTGAGCAAATCAGGGATTTAATTAATAAGTGTAATTTAGCCAATAAAGTCGTAAATTGATTTGGAGGCTATTTTTTGCGCTGGCAATATTATTTGCCATATGATTAATCTAGTCTCTACCACTATAAATCACTTTTATTGCAATGAACCTAGATTTGGGTTGTTTTTCATCTTGTTTGTTATCGGAGAATTTGAATCCGACCCATCTCATATCTTTCCAGCTCTAGCTTTGTCCAAATTAATAGGTTGTTGGTCTTGTCTCTAACTGGATGTGAGCAGAGGGCCCCATCGGGAAACCCGCACAAGTAAAAAGATGGGTTGTCGAAGCGAATAAATTGATTCGGAGGAATCAGCTTAAACACCTTCACAACGACTACTGCAATTTCATATCAGCGGAGCGAAGTTCTGTTCCTCGCATAGCCATCCAAGAAGGGAAAAAGAAAGGGAGGAAGAGAGTTGGGCAACGAGCAAAAAAGGTTATCACTACGAAGACTGACGGAAAGAGAAAAAAAGAAGCAGTCAAATACCAAATTGCCACGTCAGCTGTGTGGACTGGCAACCCACCGTTAACCATGCAGGAAAAGTGCTTTCGCACTTTATATATACTAAGGAGGCGTTTGTTTGACGGGATTCGGAATCAGGATTCGGATTTGAAATCAATTTTGTTGTTTGGTTGATTGGAATGAGATGCAAGGCATGGGATTCGGAATCTATTTTTGAATCCCACCTCCCCATATGGATTCGCTGGATTCGGAATCGAATCCTTTTCATTTTTCCATCTCTTCTATTTCTTTACTCTCCTCTCTCTTCATTTCCTACTTTCTTTCCCAGTTCCCCTCTTCTCTCTTCTCTCTCTCCTCCATATTCATCTTCTCATCTTCCTGCACAAATTTTGTAATTTCTTTCTCTTCTTCATTTTCACTCCCCCATCTCTCTTCTTGCACGAGCTCGTTGTTACAGTCCATATCTCATTTTCTGCTTTGAAAAAAGGGCTTTGAAAATTAAATTGTTCTTCAATAATTTTTGACTTTATTTTTTTGGGCGATGGGTTTGCTCCATAAATTATTTTGACCGATTTATTTGACGTGAACACAGATCTGGGTATTGCGAGGAAGATGATAATGGTAATGACTTGTAGTAGATGGAGGAGGTGGTCGGTGAAGAAGATGGATTCTGGTGGTGGTGATGGTTCAAGCGTAAGGAAAAGAGGGAGGAGGAAGGAGAAAAAAATAGGAAAAAATGGATTGTTTTTAATTTTTTTTTATCATATCAATATAAGTAAAAATGAAATTTAATCTCATTTTTATTTGGAGAAAAATAAATTAACCAAATTATAGAAACTATAATATAACTAATCAATTTTTTGAACCAAACAGCGGAATTGGATTGATGAATCCATGACTATTCGAATCCAATCCCTCATCATTCAAATCCGTTTCCTAATCCGTTTCTTGCTGGCAAAACAAACGCCTCCTAAATGCATTATCTCTTTCAAAATTTTATCGTAGAGAGTCTATGAACAAAAAGCTTAACTTCAAAATGAAATATGAAACTTAATACACCTTAAAGTTCATAGGACGAAAAGAGATTGTTTGAGTTCCTTATACTCATTAGGCCTGGCGATTCGTCTCATCTGCCTTAAACAACTTGAATGAGAGTTTTCAATTGATAGAGGGCATTGTTGGCACTGAACTCATCTAGATTTAGTTCAACGATAAGTTTATGGTGGTGTTTTGATTGCTATCTTTTCATTGCAGGGTTTGTCATTGAAAGAAATATTAGTTGCGGGTTTTTTTTCCCCTTTTCTATTTTTTTCGTTGTTTAGACAAATGTAGAGAGTTTAAATAAAACAATCAATTGTGAAATAATCATGTTCATTCTTTACTTATCAGATCTGAAATTTTTTTTAATACAAAGATATGGAAATTTAGAATTCATATATGTTTCTCCGTACCTTATTTGCCCTCCTTTTGTCGCTTTATCTCTTTTTTCAATTTTCGTTGCCGTTGTCTCTGGTTATTAGTTGTTTGAATCCTATCCATAAATTAAAATGTTTGGATTTCTGGTGTTTGGGTGCGAAAATGGCTTCAAATTTTGTGCACCTGCAAGTGTTTGTTAAAATGCATCAATCAAGTTTCTCCATACATTTTGAGCTTATCGAGCTGCTCGCGAGCCCTCTAACGAGTTTGAGCTCCATTTTCCTGGCTCGGTCAAGCTCGAGCTCGAGTTCGAGTTCAGTGAAAATGATTCGAGCCGAGCTTGATAAGGGGTCAGCTCGCGCTTGGCTCGGTTCGATTATACCCCTACTTGTCCATAATCAACCTTCATTAATTAACAGCAATAAATTGATAGCACAAAATTCATAGAATCTAGGAGGAAACGAATTGCCATTCTTGTAAAATCTGAGGACCATTTCTCGAAATTATGGAAGGACTTAAGTCAACTAGACGACATCAGGTGCACGTGTCTACTGTCTGCAAAATGTCATTGCCACCTGAGACAATGCTAAAATCATCTTCGTCATTTTTAACTTCTTGTGTGCTGAAGAGAAAATTGCTTCTGTAAATTCTTTCTGGGTTTCGTTGATTCTTCTTCTTGGGTAATTTCAGACTTCAGACTGGAGAAAAAAAAATGGAGGGAAGAGCTCAGAAAAAGATTCCAGAGCCAGGGCCAGGAATTGGTGATGGGGTTCTGGTGTTTGCAGTGAATGGACTGAAGTTTGAGGTTCCCAGTATTGATCCTTCTACTACTTTGCTTGAGTTCTTGCGGTGTCAGACTCCTTTCAAAAGTGTCAAGCTTGGGTGTGGTGAAGGTATTTTTTTTTTTAATGTTGTTCGACCTCTTTGTTTTGTTTTGAATGATTGTGGGATTGATTTGATTTTAGTTTTTGGGTTTCGAGAGAAATTTGTTCAGTTGGTTTATGTCGGTGAGAATGGCTGAATTGTGTTTTAGGCCCTTTTTTATCTTTCTTTTCTGTGTTTAAGTTGATGCCAAATGACAATAAACAGAGTATCTTGTTTAAAAATGGCTGTTCTTTCTTAATCAGTTAATGTCTTCATTCTGATTGTTGTAACTTCTAATTATCTTACTTGGTCTCGGGAGATAAAATTGGTCAGCATTTGTGTAATTGGCAATAGAGGGAGTTTAGCCGGCAGTTGATTTTGAAGGTGATTAGAATTTAGATTTTCTGAGTTGAAACTGTGGACCAAGCATCTGAAAGTTGAGATTGCCTTGTTTCTATGAGCTCCGTGCTAATTTTTTCTCTCAATTGTTTCCTTCATTTCATTCCCTTTTGCTACAATAATATTGATAGATTATTTTTCATTAAAAGTATGAACTATGCAAATTAATGATTATCTTCAAGAAAAAGACAGTTTATTGTTAATCCCTAACTAGTAGACTTTGCAAATAGTGTTACTCCAATTCGATTTGTATGCTTATCTCTACTGCCTCAGGTCCATTTTGAAGAGATCTGCTTACTATCAATGCAATCTGACTTTGCTATTAGATTTTTTAACTGCTGAATGCAACATTTCATTCCAGATGTTCAGGCACTGCTATTTTATTATTGTTTTGATTTTCTCAGAAGATTGTTAAGCTTAGATTGCTTATAGTTTATGAATATTCATGGAATATTGGGTTGTTTGGTCTGTGATTTTGCTGCTATACTTTGCATCTGTGTATGCGATTCCCTGAGTAGTCCAATCTGGAAATTGCTCTTGCCTTCTGCTGTTGAGGAAATTATGACCATGGTTGCTTTCTCATTATGCTGAGACTTGCTGGTTTGCGTACCTGCATTATTTGCTAATGCTGGCCATGTATCTGATAGAGGCTTCTTGTACAGGTGGTTGTGGTGCATGTGTGGTTATGGTGTCAAAGTATGATCCAGTTCTTGACCAAGTCGAAGAATATAGTGTGAGTTCATGTCTAACCCTTCTTTGCAGTCTAAATGGTTGTTCAATTACTACTAGTGAAGGCCTCGGAAATAGTAAAGATGGTTTCCATCCAATTCATCAAAGATTTGCAGGATTCCATGCTTCACAATGTGGCTTTTGCACACCAGGAATGTGCATGTCATTTTTTTCAGCACTCACAAATGCCAAAAAGTTGCTGAGACCTGAACCTCCAGTAGGATTTTCCAAGCTTACCATTTCTGAAGCAGAAACGGCTGTGGTTGGAAATCTTTGTCGTTGTACTGGATATCGACCCGTAGCTGATGCCTGCAAAAGTTTTGCTTCAAATGTTGATTTGGAGGACTTAGGACTCAATGTTTTCTGGAGAACCGGGGAGCCAAAGGAAGTTATGTTAAGTAAATTACCATCGTATGATCCAAGTCTAACTGTCAACGAATATCCTGACTTTTTGAAAGACAGGTTAAAATTAGCTGTGAAACTGGACTCCAACAATTATTCATGGCATAGTCCTACTAGTCTTGCAGAGCTCAGAAGCTTTTTGAATACCAACCTTGTTGATGATGGTTCATCGATTAAGCTACTTGTTGGTAACACAGGAATAGGTTATTACAAGGACCTTCAGCACTATGACAAGTACATTGATCTGAGACATATTCCTGAACTTTCAATTATAAGAAGAAACCATGGAGGGATTGAAATTGGAGCTGCTGTCACAATCGCGAGACTTATTTCATACCTTAAAGATGATAATGCAAATTTTCCCTCCAACTGTACACTGGTATTCAGAAAAATTGCTGACCATATGGAGAAAATTGCGTCGGGGTTTGTAAGAAACTCAGCTAGTATTGGTGGGAATTTGGTGATGGCACAAAGGAAAAATTTTCCTTCAGATATAGCTACTCTACTTCTTGCAGTAGATTCTACTGTTAGTATAGCTACATGTGACAGGCATGAAGTTGTTACATTGGAAGACTTGTTGGCAAGGGCACCCATTGGCTCAAGAAGTGTCCTTCTCGGTGTACAAGTTCCGTTTCCGGATCCAAAAAGAAAGGAAATCATCCATGCATCTGATTCCAAATTGTACTTTGAGACCTTCCGTGCTGCCCCCAGACCTCTGGGAAATGCGTTGCCTTATCTGAATGCTGCTTTCTTTGCCGATGCGTCTCCTCACGTAAATGGTGTAATTATGAATGATATCAAGTTGGCTTATGGTGCTTTTGGTACTAAACATGCAACCAGAGCAAGAAAAGTTGAGGAATATCTTTCAGGAAAATTACTTACTATTAATGTTTTATATGAAGCCATAAAATTAGTCAAAACAGAGATAATACCCGAATCTGGCAGTTCACATGCTGCTTACCGGATAAGTGTGGCTGTCAGTTTCCTCTTTCAGTTTCTTTCCCCGTTTCTCGATGCTGGTTCTCCTGTTTCGGATGGTTTATCTAATGGAATCACAGGCAGTGTATTAAACTCTTGTTTGGAAAACAATGGTGAATTTTCCAATGGTCGAATGGAAAATTTATCATTATTATCACCTGCAAAGCAAAAAGTGAAATCAGTTAGAGACTACCACCCAGTGGGAGAACCAATAGTGAAGACTGCTGCTGCCATCCAATCTTCAGGTTTATTTCTGTTTTTATTTTACTGGGATAATGTGTCATGGACTTGTTAGTCAATATAATCACGTGCTCTGGAAGCCTCGTCTCTGATAACTCTGATTTTCCTCTATTGTTGTGGTAAATAATATTGAAACTTACAATGTAAGATGTTGGTTGTGGTAGTTATTATCCTCATGTTGGTTGTACTATTTTCTTCTCTTCATCATTGGACATCATGATCATGTTCTCTTTCCCCTTATAACATACTGATCTCGTTCTCCTTCCTACTTCAGTTAAGTCCCCACCTCTGTTGATAACATTTAAGTGGACATCTGAAAGAATATGCCTTCTCATCTCTCTCTACTTATGCAGGGGAAGCTGTATATGTTGATGACATTCCGTCGCCTACGAACTGCCTACATGGAGCATTTATATATAGTACAAAACCATTGGCAAGGGTCAAAAGTGTAGATTTCAAGTCAGACTCTCAACAGCATGGAGTTACCGCTGTTATTTCTTATACAGATATTCCAGAAGTAGGGGAAAATGTTGGGTCCAAAACCATTTTTGGTTTTGAACCTCTATTTGCTGATGACCTCACCAGGTGTGCTGGTGAACGAATTGCATTTGTGGTAATTGCTTGCTTCCAAAGTCCTAGTCTTGGATCTTAGATATTTGCTGGATTACCACCAATTTTCTGCATTATCAGCCTTTGCTGTCTCTAAGTAGAACATTACATTTAGGTGGCAGAAACACAAAAGTCAGCAGACATTGTAGCAAGCTCAGCTGTGGTGACTTATGACACTGAGAATCTAGATCCACCAATTTTGTCTGTCGAAGAAGCGGTTGAGAGATCAAGTTTTTTTGACGTTCCTCCTTTCTTGTATCCGAAGCATATCGGTGACTTCTCGAAAGGAATGGCTGAAGCTGATCATAAGATTACTTCTGGTGAGGTAATGGTGAAATATTTTCTTGTATTACTTTCTTAGCTTCATCTCCGGTCATGGGTTTTATGTTTCTTAAACATCATTTAAGATTATATGCTGCTTACAACCATGTTTTCTGCTGACATGATTTACAGGTCAGAATTGGGTCCCAATACTATTTCTACATGGAGACGCAAACTGCTCTGGCAGTTCCTGATGAAGACAATTGCATGGTGGTTTATAGTTCAATCCAGTGTCCAGAATATCTTCACAGTGTAATAGCAAAATGTCTCGGCATTCCTGAGCATAATGTACGTGTGGTTACTAGAAGGGTTGGTGGAGGCTTTGGGGGCAAGGCAATAAGAGCAATGCCTGTAAGTAGTGTACTCTAAATTCACCCATCGAAAAGATAAAAAATGCTTTATAGTGTTTTAATTATTAGTTCTATAAATTGAGAAAATATTTTTTCCCCGTCCATGGCCAATTTTTTTCTATGGGACTACTTGTCGCAGGGTATGTGTTTTGTCTGTGATCGTTGAATTAACAGATATCTCTGAGGGCCTTTGTTGGGATATCATTTTATGACCATGGCCATAATTTTCCTTTTATTTATTTATTTTTTTTTAAATTCTGTCGTGCATTTTTTATTTTGTATGATAGGCATAACTTTGGTGCTACAGTGAATGATTGAAATGCAGCGTGATACGAAGGAAGTAACTATCTACTCTCAATTATTGACGAAGAAATCCCAATCCTTGGATAGCTTAATAAAGTTTGCATTATTCTTAAAATTTCATTCAAGGCTATTTCTTTTTTTAAAAAAAAAAGTTTGATTTCTGCCAATGGAAATTTCCAACCATATTTTCTTAAATGATGCCAGAGAGGAAAGAACATTGTAACTTGAAACAAGTTTTGGTTTGGAAAATGCTTTGATATGTGTAAACTCTCTTTTAACTTCTAAATGAAATCTCTCTCTCTCTCTCTCTCTCTCACACACACACACACACACACACGCACACACACATTTTATATCTACTGGGCCTATTAAACAATAAGATGAACTTTTAAACACATGCAGACAGATGTGGAAATGTACGTATAAAAGCCATGATACTGATACACACAAATCATAATTGTTTTGCATAGCCATTCCTGTGGCTTTTACTACTTGGTTGTTGATACAGTGATACTTAATGCTTGGTAAAGGTTTGGCAAAGATATCAATGTCATGCAAGTAACTATAAATTTGTTTGGCTCTGACTAAAACTCATTTGTGGACATAAGCGTTCCTGATTTATCAGTGTGTGTGACTGTGTTTGATCTCCATCACATGCATTAGCATTTCTGGATAGTCGGATAGATTTGTCGTAGAAATATGATTTCTTCTAGTTTCAAATTGTGTGTCGTCATGCGTGTATTTATGTTAATCTTCTTTAGGTTGCTACAGCATGTGCACTTGCAGCGCACAAATTACGGCGTCCTGTCAGGATATATCTCAACCGCAAGACTGACATGATAATTACTGGCGGAAGACATCCGATGAAAATAACTTACAGTGTTGGATTCAAAACGAATGGAAAAGTTACTGCACTACACCTTGATATATTAATTGATGCCGGGGTCTTTGTGGATATAAGCCCAGTGATGCCTTTGAACATAAGTAATCCCCTTAAAAAATACAACTGGGGAGCTTTGTCTTTTGATTTCAAAGTCTGTAAGACAAATCATTCATCCAAATCAGCTATGCGAGCTCCCGGAGAGGTGCAAGGATCCTTTATAGCTGAAGCTATAATAGAACATGTTGCTTCAGCACTTTCAATGGAGGTTGATGCTGTCAGGAATGTTAATCTTCACACATTTGAAACCCTGGGTGTTTTCTATGGGGGAGCTGCAGGTGAAGCACCAGAATATACTTTACCTGACATATGGGATAAATTGGGTCTATCTTCATCTTTAACACAACGAATGGAAGTGATAGAGCAGTTCAATAGGGGTAGCACCTGGCGGAAAAGAGGCATCTCAAGGGTTCCCATTGTGCACGGAGTGATGGTGAGACCAACTCCAGGAAAAGTTAGCATTCTTTCAGATGGGTCTATTGTAGTAGAAGTTGGAGGAGTGGAGTTGGGGCAGGGGCTGTGGACTAAGGTGAAACAGATGACTGCATATGCTCTCAGTTCAATTGGATGTGATGGAACTGAAAACCTTGTGGAAAGAGTACGAGTAATACAATCAGACACCTTGAGCTTAGTGCAAGGTGGTTTTACGGCTGGCAGCACAACATCCGAATCTAGCTGTGAAGCTGTCAGATTATGCTGCAACACTTTAGTTGAAAGATTGTGCCCACTTAAAAGTAAGTTGCAGGAGCAAAAGGGTTCTGTTCATTGGGATTTCCTCATACTTCAGGTATCTTCTTCTTCTTCTTTTTTTTTTTTGGGGGTTTATATACTTCAGGTATCTTTTTTTCCATGAAATGTTGTTTCTCAGTTCTCAATTTTATTACGCCTGATACAATCTGATTGTAGAGTCTTCCTAACCTGTGATGAGAAAAAGCTCTTCATTCCATGTTTGTTTAACATTTTGATATTCTCTCGGTAAATCGTATTAAATAACAACCATAATAACAGACTACTCAGGTTCAGCTGTTACTAAGGGTAGTCTATGGAATTTAATGGAATAATCTGTGGCTCTGTAACTACATTATGCATGCAAATGGGGACTTGCAATGTCTTGCAGCATACAAATTGGACTTTCATGTGCACTATGAACTCAAATCAGTCTCAAACTAGTTTTAGTAGCTAAACCCTTCATATGAATTTTTTAAGGGTGATATTGTGGCTGGAAGTGTAACATCATACTAACTTTCCGTTTTCCTTAAACCAGTATGGCTCTCATGTTCATGTGATTGTTTGGTATGTTTCTGCGATGCTATCTTTATTTCTTTCAACTTGGTGTTTCTTTCATATTGTAGGCTCATTCTCAAGCGGTAAACATGGCAGCACACTCGTACTTTGTGCCCGCATCTGATTCCATGGAGTATCTAAACTATGGTGCTGCTGTCAGCGAGGTAACTTTTTCATTTACTTTGCGTCTACAGTCGGTCTCATGTTTCAGTATATCATAGAATTGCCTTAGCCACAGGGCATCAACGGTATTTTAATTGAGCACCATAATTTCCATTCGACAAGCCATGAAATAAGGTGGTTGATGTGGTTGCATTTTTTATGGATGATGAATTTGTGGGTCATGCAGGTTGAGATAAATGTTCTTACAGGAGAAACTAGCATTCTAAGAACAGATATCATCTATGATTGTGGGCAGAGCATGAACCCTGCAGTTGATTTGGGACAGGTAAGTAACTAGTTCCTTGATACACATGAATCTACTTCTTTTGATGGGGAATGAGTTCTTTTATAATTCAATTTGCAGTTACCATGCCACAATTTACCATGTACAGAGTTTTTTTTTTTTGTAGATTGAAGGAGCTTTTGTCCAAGGAATTGGGTTCTTCATGCTCGAAGAGTACCTTGTCAATAAAGATGGATTGATGATTTCGGACAGCACATGGACATACAAGATCCCAACTATCGATACCATACCAAAGCAGTTCAATGTTGAGGTGCTCAGTAGTGGACATCACAAGAAACGTGTCCTTTCATCTAAAGGTATTTTTTCCAAAATTTCTCCCTGATGTCGTAAAAACTTCTTATGATTAGGTTTTGCAAGGCCTTATTCTAGTATGTAAGAACTTGGCAATTCTCAACAAATGGAATGGTCAGTGAACAACAAAAACGGTTGCTTAAATTAGTTTCACATGGTAATATGACTGTTACGGCAAATCCCTTCACAGAAATTTAACATCTTCATATGACCCTTTTATAGATTATAATCTTCTGAAAACAATTAGATTTTTACCGATTCTCCACCAAGTCATATCATGAACTAGTGTTTTATGTGTCATAGTCATAGCAATGCAAGTAAATCCTTCGCCTCATTAAACAATCACTTGTAAATGCACTACTTCTGCAGCCTCTGGTGAACCGCCTTTGCTTCTAGCAGCATCAGTGCATTGTGCAACGAGGGCAGCTATCAAAGAAGCGAGGAAACAACTAAAAGCATGGGGGAAACTAGATGGAACCGATTTAGCATTCCGGCTGGATGTCCCGGCTGTTATGCCTGTAGTGAAACAACTTTGTGGCGTAGATTGCGTAGAGACATACCTGGAAAGTTTGCTTACTGGATCATGATGCCATCAGTAGTGAACCTTTGTATCCGTGCACCGATTTTTATCTTTTGCTTTTTAGTACTCCTTCCGTCCCACAAAAATAGTCCACATTGAATTTTGAGTTTTGTACTATTTTTAGTACAAATTTGAAAACTCAATGTAGACTATTTTTTTTTTGAGACGGAGGTAGTATTTCTTTTCTTTGGGTACTGTAAGCCAAACACTGAAATGCTACATCTCCCCTGGTCCATCCCAAAGTTAGTCATTCCATTTTTGGGGCGGAATTATGTTTCGAAATTTTAATATAGCTTGTCAACTGTAATTGCTAATTAGAATCTAGAGAGGATCGATTATTTTCTGGAGTTGATGCATCGCATTTACAAGTTCCTCTTAAATTATTGTACATGTGAATTGTCTCCATCCACTCAATCCGTAAAAAATAAAAATAAAAATTGGAAGTTTCCTCGTTCAAGCAGGCAATGTCGATGAGCTCGTGGTGACTTCTAGTTTGGATTTTCTTCGTTTTGTATAAATATAAATTGTAATAAAAGTGAAAATTTAAATTAATTATCAGAACCGAGCAAATATATTATTTACCTAAATATTTTTTTTATCACTATCATCTCTCTTCTCTCCTAGTATGGCATGTCCTTACAAACATGGAAATAAATGGATACAAATTCAAGTTGTTTATAATTTCGCGCTACATTTAGTTATCGCGGTCTCAATAATGATTCAAGCAGAATAGTATCATTACATTAGTACTCCCGGATTCCAAGAACAGGACTTCAAAATTTTGCATCAAAGAATTTACTCCCAAACAAACAAAGGAAAATTAAACCCAAATCGCAATTTTATTTAGCTGATAATCCATCTGACCGTTCAATTTCGATTTTTATTTTTAGTACAAATTGACCTAAAAGTGAAAATTCAAACTGGACAATAATTTTTGGAATAAAGGGAGAATTTTCTTTTTCAAAAACTTGAATTCTCATGGAAACACAAAGTAATAATAGGAGAGACGAGTCCGTATCCAGTGCACCCAGATATACTGTATACCCCCACCAAACACACGCACTACACGCACTCAACATTTTTCACCTTTACATTAAATGCACAAACAAAATTGTTTTCATCCTCACGCACAAACACACACAATTGCTGGTTATCCATAATTTATCCACAAGTTGTAAACTGGTTATCCAGAAGGGGTAAACTGGTTATCCACAAGGCATAAACTGGTTATCCACAATTTGTAAACTGATTATCCACGAGTTGTAAACTGGTTATCCAGAGGTAAAGAAGCAAACGACATGTTAATTGGGGGGTTTCGCCCTCCATGATAAACTGAACGACTCCCGCGGCTACCGGAATCGCAGGTCACCAACCCGCCCCGGTTTCGCCGTCCCACCGAACACGCCGTGTTTTATAAGGTGAGTCCTTTTTTCGTGTGTGTGTGAGGAGTGTGTGTGTGTGTGTGTGTGTGTATATGAGGAGGTGGTTGGGATCGATTGGCCGAAATTCTTGGGGTTTAATTGAACGCGGTCGGGGGTGCACCGCCGGAATTTGCAGGGGCACCGGAAATGGGTGGATAACCAGCAAATTGTATGGACAGGTAGCTACATAGAAGCACATCTAAAAAAAGTATGGATAACCAGTTTACACCATGTGGATAACTAGTATAAAATAGATGGATAACCACAAACAAAGTTTGGATAACCAGTTTACAACTTGTAGATAACCAGTTTACACCTTTTGGATAACCAGTATAAAATGGATGGATAACCAGCAATTATACCATGGACAACCATCACATAATATTGCTGTTAATTAAAAAAAAAAAACTGTGTGTGTGAGGAGAGTGTGTGTGTGAGGTGGCGGCTGGGATCGTCGGCGATTGAAAACTTGAATGAATTCTGTAATTTATATATGCCACGTTTAAAAGAAAAAGAAAGCTGAATTATCTAACGAGCTCACGCTATTCTAAGAGAGTAAAGTACACGCGCAGGGAGGTGTACGGTGCCCCTGGGTGTACCAGATAATTTGCCGGAGAGACCATATTCTAATCACGTCTTGATTTCCAATGGAAAATTAAATAGTTTTTGGAATCTTCCCGCTTCATCAAAGAAACTAAATAATCAGTAATAAATAGTATGTTTTAAACCTGATTTACGAAAAAAAAAATTAAAGAGCAATAAAAATTTAGGTTTAGAGTAATAAAACTTTAGGTTTTCTTATCTTCAATATATTCTCCTTCTGACAATCTTATATATTTTTCAATCCGTAGGTTTTTTGGTGATTTCCATATCTTCAACGTTGACGCAACGGATAACCGGTCGGGGGTATGGTATAATAAGGTATCATCATCAAACTTGGGGGGCAAAAATGTAGTAGTTCGCCACCCTTCTTTTATATAGAAAATGAATTCAAATCATGCATTCATGGCATATACAAACCCAAAGGGTTGTTCATTCAGTCTCTTAATGAATAAAATTCCAGCAGCGGAGCAGACTTAAGGAAAAGCTTTTCCGAATTGGGTTTTTGAGGAATTATATGCTTTCATTCAACCGTGAGTTCTTTTCAGATTATACGGAGTATTTAAATATGGGTTCCAAAATTACATGAAAAAGTTCGGAAGATGGCCTGATTTTGTAGATATATAAAAAAAAAGATGGCCCATTTGGAGTCCTCTGCCTTTTGTGTTTGCTTTCTCTGAATTGCTTGGTCGTGTGGTTAAATTGAAGCATTATACAGTGAAGAGGTTTGGTGTGTCTCCGTTGATTGAAGCGAAATCTGGTTGCGTATAACAAAGTTCGTTAAAATCTCAAACTAGAATTTCATGTTTAGCTATCTTATCGGCTCAAGTGTCATTTGTATAGTACTAGTATTATGGAATCTACATCTAACAAACATTTGTAGCTCTTTCTTGCATTCAAAATCTCTGTTGGCTTGTATTTAATTATACTGCATTCAATAAATTTTTTTTTCCCATATCCTAAAATTATTGTCTCGTTTAAATTTTCGTTTTAGTTCAAATTGAAATAAAAGTGAAACATCCAAACTGAAAAATAATTTTGGGACAGAGTGAGTCCTAATTAGTTCACTCGCTCACAGTTTAGCTGGTTGACTGGTTCTTTGATCCTTGTATTGCAAAAATCCCTAGCCCCTAGCATAGGCTACCCCTAACACTCTATGTTCTACCCGTGGTATAACATAACCCCCCAAGGTGGGGCTTCAAGCCACTGTACTCCCCCGATCATTGAGTAGCAGTGACGGAACCAAGGGTCAGGGTGGTCGGTCGACTCCCGACCGATTGGAGTTGGCCGGATTTTCCCTTAGTAGAGTGTCCGTTAGCTGAAATTTTTTCATTTTGACCCTTCGGTGACGGTTGAATAATTCTGTTTTCGACCCCGCAATTTGAAAGTTTTCATTCCGTCATTGTTGAGTAGCCAATGCAGCTAAGTAGTCTGCAACATAATTGGCTTCCCAATACACATGTTTGATTTCCACGGATCTAATCGTGTTTCAACAATTCTCTAATCCGGCATTGACACCGAAGTTATCCTCCCTTTCCTTTAATCAACTTCAGCTAGTACATTTTTCCTCCCACCAATCTCCATGCTAACGATTAAAGCCTGAAATAGTCCTCATAACTAGCTTACCATCCGAATTGAATTTTTCATCCAATCCGGAAATTACCATCCGATCCCGGTTCTTCTGACTGGACAATCACGTAATACATGGATCGCCGACGAAAGAGGCATTCCGGCGATCACTTAATAGCCACAGAAACCGAGTGTGGCGGAATTCTTTAATTAATTGGCATGGAGTATCTCTTCTGATTCTACTTGGGAATTTGGTTATGCGCAAAACCTTTTCCAGACTTGGATTTAATCCATATATATTATCTCAAACTCCGTATGAATTTAGCATCGTAGTGCTAGTAATCTCCGTTCAATTCATCTTCTTCTTCTTCTCTCCCTGTAAAATTCATCCTGTTTTAAACCCTAGTTCATCAGAGCAAAGGAATGCCGGACGAGAAGCCACCGTCGTCGTCGGCGGCTGGCCCAGTTCCGAGAGAAGATCAGCAGAAAGTGCCGTTTCGTAAACTTTTCTCGTTCGCCGACCGACTCGATGTGGCGTTGATGGTTGTGGGGGGTTTAAGCGCAATCGGGTATGGATTATCTCAGCCAATTATGACTGTGATTTTTCGGAAGCTAATCAACACTTTGGGTACTGGTTATAAAGCACCAAATCTTCTTCACCGCGAAATCTTTAAGGTGTAATAAATCTCTAATCTTCTTTCCTCCCAGCTGATTGTTTTTCCGACGAATAATAGAATGCTTATGTTCATGCATACGAAAGAAAATTAGCGAAGAACATGTTTCTTACTCTGCTTCTCTGTCCCTTCTGTTTTCCCCTTTTCTTTGTTGATCTTGA